CGATCGCTATAGGAAATAAAAGTGGCAATGCGCTGTACTTGAAACCTTACAAATCGGGAGGCAGTTTGGCGTTGCATTTAAAAAAAAAAAACTTCAAAAAATTGCCTAAGCGGCCGTTAACAGATTTAGATCTACGTAAGCACGCAAAAGGGTGTGTACCATACTTTAGGGATGTGTTTATGCGAGATAATATGCCTATATCGCCATGGAAAAATGAATCCGGGGTTATTAATTTAGACAGTCAAAGGGGGCGTGGTACTCATTGGGTCTCGTACAAAAAACGTGGTAGACGAGTTTGGTACTATGATAGTTTCGGTAATATTCCACCACCACGAGAAGTGATCGAGTATTTCCGCGACTGTAAAATCTATTATAATTACGGACAAGAGCAACAATTTGGTACAACGAATTGCGGCCATCTGTGCTTAAAATTTCTGTATAAATAACAGCAACACTGACTAAGCGAGCAGTAGCGGTAATCATGTCGACGACGTTCAGCATAGAGGGTGTTGGAAATACGGCGAGTCACGATTTCTATCCACCTATTGAACTTCCTTCGGGGAAAATGTACGTTATCGGGATGGTGGGGTTTTATGGCTGTAACAGCATAAGAAACATTCACGCGGGAAACGATAAGTTTTACTATAAAACTGATTCAAATAGCTCAATATACTCCAAGGCAATAACAATTCCGCATGGTGCTTACAAATTGGAAGAGATAAGCGAGTATATAAAAGCTCACATTCCTACAAGTCGCTTTAGTCTACGTGCAAATAACAATACGCTCAAGTGCGAACTTAATTGCGAATTTGATATAGATTTCACTCCAAGAGACTGCATAGGGCGCATGCTCGGTTTTGAATCGAGGATATTGGAAGCGAACGTTCTACATACATCTGCTTTAGATATTCAAATCATTAAGCACACTAACATTCACATAGAGTGCAATCTCATTACGGGATCCTATCGAAACGGAAATCGCGCTAAGGTCCTTTACGAAATAGACGTTTCCGTTCCACCAGGTTACCGCTTAGATAAAATTCCTAGTAATACTCAATATCTGGAAGTAAATACCAGTAGAATTAGCAATATAACTATAAAGTTGACGAATCAAAAGGGTGAACCGATCGATTTCGGGGAAAGTGAACCGTTTACAGTACGATTAGAGTTAAAAGAATATGGGGTTACGTATTAATCAAGGTCCATTGCCATCCTTCCTCAACGCTATAAATAAACAAGGTGACCGGAAATCGAGTTATTCTCAATCGAGACAGAACCCGGGCACGTTAACGCCAGTAGAAAAAATCTTTCTTGGAATCCATTGGCCTGAAAGTGCAAAATGGCGGCGGCAGCAGACTCGTTAAACGTCTTTCAAAGCGTACACTTTGACGAAACGATTGTTAAATCCGATATTCACACCTATCTTCCATACGGAGGATCTTCGGATTACGGACTTTCCAGTGAAATACGAATATTAATTCAAAATCAAGAGCTGATAAGCGCCACCTACGACAGTTTTTTGTACTTGGAAGGAAAAATTGAATGGAGTCAACCGGAAGGAGAGGGCGCCATCGTAAAGACATGCAACCTAACAAACAATTTCGCGCCATTCCTTTTCGAAGAAATCCGCTATGAGTTGGGTGGTCAGAAAGTGGATGTATGCAGGAATCCTGGTATTACATCCTCACTGAAGGGATACGTATCGTATACGTCTACTGAAAGCAAAGGTCTCAAACACTTGGGGTGGTCACCCACCGATGAATCCCTTCAAGTAGATTTCAATAAGAGCAACAAGGAGAAGCATTTCGCTGTTTGCATTCCGCTGAAACACATATTCGGATGCATGGAGGACTATCGACAGGTTATCGTAAACATGCGACAAGAATTGGTATTAATTCGTGCTAGAAGCGATGCCAATTGCTACATCGGTACCGCCGACGATGCATCAATAACATTAACAAAAATTCAATGGAAAGTCCCTCACGTGACCGTTAGTGATAGCGCCAAAATTAGCCTATACGAACGCGTCAATAAGGATGCTATAATCACAATGCCATTTCGTCAATGGGAACTGTACGAATTGCCCGCTTTAAAACAGGCACAGTCGGATATATGGCCAATCAAAACTTCAACTCAACTAGAGAAACCACGATGGATAATTGTGGCATTTCAACGAAGCGGTAAAAAGTTTTCACACGAAGCAAGAGCGGCCAATTTCGATAACATCAATATTCGAAATTTAAAACTGCATCTCAACTCGGAAAGTTATCCGTACGAAGCGATGCATTTAGATTTTAATGCCAACAAGTACATCATTGCATATCAAAACTATTTAAACTTTCGGCGCGATTATTACTCGAAAGATGAGCATCAAGACGCCCTCTTTGACTATTTGTATTTTAAAAGTTGTCCCATCTTCGTGCTGGACTGTTCAAAGCAAAACGAATCTCTGAAGCATTCGGCGGTAGATGTTAAGTTGGAAATGGAGTCAATGGAGGCCTTCGAGGCGGGAACGGTTGCCTATTGTCTGATCCTGCACGACGCACTAATTCAATACAATCCTCTGACCGGGGAAGTGAAGAAACTATGATTTGTATTTATTTATTAAATGTATAAATAAAATGTAATGATAAAAAATGTTCGTAGTCTTATTTCAACCGCGACCCCAAAATGAAGGTAGTGATTCAGAAGCAAAAGCTGCTCGTTCAAAATCTCGACACGACGCCAAATGTGGACCACAAAAAAACCCATGGCGTATTACTTCCAAACAGCGTAAGATGTCTCATTTGTGGACCGTCCAATTGTGGTAAAACGAATACGATGCTCAGTCTGCTAACTGAACCTAATGGTCTTCGCTTCAAACACGTGTACGTCTATTCCAAATCGCTGAATCAGGACAAATATAGGGTTTTGGGGGAAATTTTACAACCAATGAAGGATATTGGCTGCTTCACATTCAACAAGAACGCGGACATTATGGAGCCCAGTGCTGCCAAACCTAATTCGGTTTTTATCTTTGACGATATCGCTTGTGAAAAACAGGATAATATTAGAGCGTACTTTTCAATGGGCAGGCATAACGCCATCGATTGTTTCTACTTGGGTCAGACGTATTCTAAAATTCCTAAACAATTGATTAGAGATAATGCCAACTGAATTGTCCTATTCGAACAGGACGACTTGAATTTGCGACATATTTATGAAGATCATGTCGCACCCATAATAACCATGCAGCTGTTTCGAGAGATGTGTTCGGAAAGCTGGCGAACCCCGTATGGGTTTATGGTGATAAATAAGGATGCGGATGTGCAAAACGGTCGTTTCAGGAAAGGCTTCGATCACTATATAATACCATGAAAACATGTTTATTGTTCAGTTCAACTGTAACAGCTTTAACAGCTTTACCAGCTTTTAACAGCTTTAATACCTCTAACAGCTTAACAGCTGAACGGCTTTAACTAACAGCTGAACAGCTTTAACCGCTGAACAGCTTAACAGCTTTATTGGGGGGAACAGACCCTGTTCCAGTTGATCTGTTCATTTGATATCGGTTTACCTGTTCCGTTGATCATGGATAATAAGGAGATGGCCTTGAAACGACGAATAGTTCAGGCGCGTAAAGCGATACAGCAAAAGTACAATCGTCTCAAAGCGGATCGTTTTATTAAAGAAGTGGAATTTGTACGAACGTATAAACCGCTAATTCAACCGCTAGCTCAGATCGTAAAGAAAATCGAACCGCCGTCATCATTGGTTATAGAAACGAAAAAGGAGGAGCCATCAGAGGACGAAGTATTTACATCACCCCCTAAAAAACGTCAATCTCCTGTAAAAAGAAAGTCACCACAACAACGTAAGACTCCTGCGATACCTTATTACACGCGAGTGAGACGTAGGCCCTCTTCCCTTACCGAGATCAGTCCGCTGGCTAGACTTCCATACTTTCAAAAATATCCGCCAACTGATATTAGTCCTATGGTTAGACCTTTTCATCCCACGGCTACTCCATCATTGAGACAGGCGCCATCATTTCTACAGAGTACAGTGATAGGAGAGCATCAACCGGAAGAAGAAGAAGAAGAGTCCTCTATCGCATCAGAATCATCTGCATCATTACTTGATATGCAAGGTTCGCAAGCCTTTTTGGAACAATACAAACACCTACCACGTATATACGTTGAGCGCATGATAAGAGATACGAGTAATGCAATTGACACCACCTTTGGAATTCATTATAATGTCGAAACGGATAAGTGGAGAATGGGCAAGACTGAGGTGACGATAGATGACGAAGATTTGGTCATTAACGGGAACCGGTACAAAGGTACTGCGGGGCTATACGAACTTATCATCATGAATGAACCGGATGAATCGCTAGTATCCAAGCAGGATAGAAGTAACTATAAGCAGATAATAATAGCAACTCATGTCGCACGGCGCAATTACGACCCCACAGAACAGATTCGTGGCAATAAGAGCAAAAAGTATACGCTGATAATAAAGCCTCTCCTGAAGGAGGAGGAAGCGGCGAATAGGGGGCGTGCGAAATCGGGAAGCGGTATTACTCTATTCAAGGAACTCGACCGACCGATCGAATACAAATACTGGAATAGCGTGCATGAATTGATTAGGGACCTAGAGGTTTTATGGGGTGAAAAAATGGCAGGCAACACAGGAGTAAAAAATGATATAATATCAATCGTGGAAGAGCTGTACGAGGAGGGTTACATACAAAAGCCTACGCAGCGATTTTTATCTCAACTAGTATAAATACCCCATTTCCGTCTTCCCCGCTTACATTCATCATGGATAAATTCGGACGTTCTCATACCCATGCTCAATTTGGAAAACTGTTAAAGACAAAATTTTCCATTACCAACGATACGATAAATGTGGAAAATAAGAGACTAAGTAATGTTGTCGACCCTATTGAACGTCATGATGCCCTAACCTTACAACACTACCTATCAACAAGACTGAATCTTAACGGAAACCGGTTAATGAATGTGGCCGATCCAGTAGACGATGGCGATGCCATAAATAGAGGATACTTCATGTATTACATGCAGATTGCGAAAGTACCTGTAGACGGTCTTCGCAATTACGTGGAGGCACTAGAGGAAGAGTTGAAGGCGGTCAAAGCAACCCTACATAAACTAATAGAGGATGCAGCAAGTGGTAAATGAGCTACATAAAGCAGCACGAAAAAACTTCGCACGTAGACGTACCATCATTAAGGGATTTGATGATCTTTGGCAAGCCGATTTGGCCGAATTTATACCTTACGCTAAACAGAATAAAGGCTACAAATACATACTGATAGTTATCGATTGTTTCTCAAAATATCTGTGGACGAGAGGATTGAAGACTAAAACGGGTGAGGAGGTGACAAAAGCCATACAGGATATTTTCAAAACTACCAGACGGAGACCGAAAAATCTACAGACCGATGCCGGGAAGGAATTCTATAACAAATCATTTGACAAATTGATGGCGCGAGAACACATTAATCACTATTCCACGTACAGTACAAAAAAGCTGCCATAGCCGAAAGAATAATTAGGACGATCAAAAATTATTTATACCGACAGTTTAGTCTACGTGGAAAATATGTATGGATTGATGCAATTGAATCAATCACGAGCGAGTATAATAATCGTAAAAATCGAACAACGGGGATGAAGCCGATCGAAGTAAAGGCCGATACACAGCTGAAGGCCTACAGACACATCAAGCTCTTTAACAAGAAACATCGTTTTAATGTTGGCGATGTAGTTCGAATTAGTAAGCACAAGAGTGTGTTCGCCAAGGGATATACTCCGAACTGGTCCAGTGAACTGTTTAAAATTGCAAAAGTCCAAATAACCAATCCCGTGACGTACTTGTTGGAAGACATGAAAGGAAAACCGATACTGGGAGGATTTTATGAGCAGGAACTGCAAAAAGCTAAGTATTCCGATATCTATTTGGTGGAGAAGGTGCTGCGACGTAAGAAAGATAAAGTGTACGTCAAGTGGTGGGGACTGGACGAAAAATCTTGGATAGAAAATGATAATATCGTATTGTAATTTTCGCTGTAAATTAATAAATAAAGAAAACAAAAGCTTTTTTGTACTTTTTTTATTTTGCTTTCCTATTACCATACAACATATTTTTCTTTTTTTTTAGTAAAGCTATCGTTATTGATAATTTTTTCAAGCATATCGTACGTTTTCTTATAATCACTCAGCAACGTTGAGGGCCATACAGTGCTATCTGGACCACACCTCCAACCAAGCAGAGCGTTATGATCTTGTGTGCCTCTCCTAATGTTCTCCAATAGCCACTCGTAGATTTTGCGATGGTAGTTATTTTGACGTGGATTAAAATCTATTTTAACGTGCGCCTCCTGGCAAACATCAATCAATATTTGCAGCGCATTGAAGTTGGCATACTCCGCAGCTGTACATATGGCTTCGTTAATAACTTGCGAACTATCCTTATAAATACTACTAATTACATTATCTACACTGTTTCCTCTTAAATTTACTATAAACATTTCAAAATGCATTGATACACTAGGAGTATGAACATCAGCAAAACGATCACCGTTTACTCGTGAATAATGATTCATTAGATAGTCAAGTTCGATCTTTTTGTGAAATAGTAATTTAACCATTTCTTTACACACATTTTTCGCTATAGCACACCATCTAAAACACTCATCTGGAATAACAATATTCTGTAAAATATTGTTAATGAGAAAGTAGGTGTCGATAGAAAAGGATGATGTGTTTAAAACGACACTCTTCAAATGTGCAAAGTATATTGAGCTTGACGCAAAAAGGATTTCTTGTTCCAATCCTCGATCGCCGCCACCAGTGCTTGCCATCTTTATAGGGTAAAAACACACACCTACAAAAAGGAAAGGATAGACACCAAAATTGATTAAATAAGAGGTTGTGGAACACACTGTTAAGTAGAAAAGTTATAGCCCCAAGGGAGGGTGTTAATACAATCTAAACTAATTTGTCGTTTATCATCATACGGACTTAAAACCACCTTATTCTGTTTGATCGTGAATACTAAATGTTTTCGGGATTTTATTAAATATTGAGGCCGTGTTACTACCGCATTGTTAAATATGCTGTTTTTATAGTCCTCCAAAGTTATTTCCCGGATACTGGCATAAGTTGAACCTTTGGACCTCTTGAATACCTTACCGTCCACGAGATAAGAGTACATTTTCGCTCTAAGCCCTACAAACTCTAGCATTATTTTTCCATTGTTCTCGTCCTTCATCAGCCCGGGGACTTTTTTATTAACCAGGGGTATGCCAAAAACGTTATTATGATTATAATTCGACGTATCAAACTTATCGATGTTTTCTCTTATGGATTCGTAAATGTCTGGAACTGAAAATGAGTAGATCAAACTATCGGTGTCGGTATATAATAGTTTTGCGCGATCCTTGAACTCTTTTAAAACGAAATTGTAATGAAAATCATAAAGAATAGTTTTTGATACATCTAATACGGTTAAGCCTGCATAAATGGGTTTGTTGAGCAGTACTTCCAAACGATTCATTTCTATGATTGCTAGATCTTCATTGTCATCGAAAAGCATACAGCTTTTAAAGTTTGGTTTGGATATATAAGCACCGGCGCCGTACCTACCGCCCCACTTGTTTACCAAATGCACATCTTTATATTTCCTTACGTTCTCCATCAATTTACCAAATACACAATTTACCATTAGTTTATAAAAATTGATATCGAATTCATTCGTAGATTCTTGTCGCTTTTGCGTATTTAAATCGATATACTTTTTTAACCAAGGCGATTGTCGAAATCTTAATACGCGATTAATTTTATCGAGTCGTAATCCGTGCTTTATGTACTGCTTTAAATTTCTGTAATGTAAAACGTAGTTCTGTTTTGAATACAATGTCAGAAGTAATTTCTTAAATTTACCATTGGGGGGAGTTCGGTGTTCGGGCGCAAGTGGAAGATCTTTATGAAAGGAGTGGATATTCGTGGGATAATTTAGATCACAATCTAAAATGTAGCCGATTTCTGCGTTATCGGGGTGGTTCAATATATCTAACGTTTCAAATGAATCCTCATCTACAAAGGAAAACTCTCCGTACGGCAAAAATTCGCACATTGTGGCGCCATATAGAGAATTTACATCAAAATACATTAAGTAGGTCGATTCAAGTTCGGGGCGGTAACCTTCCTTCATATACTTATTATTAGCCTTCGCGTATCTCGTAGAACATTGCGTTATACCACCGCGAATTCCTCTTTCGATGAACATTACTTGATCTATGTCAGTTAAAAGCTCTAATTGAACGTCGGTAATTTTCAACATCGCGTCGAATGCAAGACCAGGGGCGCTAAAGTAGTGAAGAGGGTCCAATTTATAAGTCTGTAGACATGTATTGCGAAAATTTTCAAAAATATCCGCCAAAAGCAACACGTCAGTTTTCAAATACAAATCTGAAAATTGTCCGAGAGTCTCTATGGAAAACGAGTTCCATATATTTAAAGCATGAGTGTAATCATCTTCGCTAATTTCTTCACCGCGCAATGAACTGAAGAAGTTATTTTTAGGAGGTAAACAGCGCTCATTTAACTTTTCAAAGCAATCGACGTATTCATATGGGAATACACCTTTCCGTGTAAGTAACTCGAATTCGGCTTCACCGCCGACATACTCCGAGCGCGTTATATTTTTCTTGTCCTTACTTAAATAGGACGCAAGCTTATCAATGCTACTACTCATAAAGCGAAAGGAATCTATAAATCTAAAAATAATCTTCGTATCTTGCACGTGTTTCGAAAAGGAGATATACTTCTCTTTGTTTAAAGTAAAACTTTTATTTGGCCAGGTATAGCGGTTGCAAGTTCGCGGATAATGAAATGGGCATCGTACCCACTGAGATTATGAAAGACCACAGGGATCGCGTGACTGTTTTGGTAGTTTACATTACAGGACTGGTGCGAAGCAGAGCGATACCGCGAAGTGAAATGGCAATGATCCCTACAACGAATTTCATTTTCCAAAAAAGGTTTCTCACAAATATGACAATGGGTGGCGTTTTTGAAATCTTCCTCTTGAGCTTCACTCAATGTTTCCATCGGTAGGGGATTGTTAATAATTGCATTAGCCCAGAGCGCGATGTTGTGTAGATTGTTTACAAACCACGATACACAATCCGCGCCTCTGTATAACGAGAATCGCGATAATGAATTGTCATATGCACATTTGAGATAAAAAGCTACGCTGTAAGGTACGTGCTTTTGAAATAGTTTTGTGTTTTCCCCACTACCGCAAACGGTATCACAATTCTCCAGAAGGCATTCAATATCTGCGTAAATCGCGAACGGAACTTTTTCCTTATTAGAATAATGAGAGAATTTCAAAATTTTCTCCGATTCGGAAGGTACTCTTACCGCACATTTATTTATGTCATGACAACGAACCGTGTGCTTTTCCAGTAGGCGATTCGATGAAAAATGATTTAAACAAATATTACACAAAAACTTTGCGTGTCCCCTATTGGATAATTGTGACGATAATAAACGGGATAAATTTTTAATCCACGCAAAGTGAAAGTAATTAGTATTTTTTGGGCAAATACGATTTTTTGGAGCCTTATTGTTATTAGAAGATAATACCAATAAATTGATTGCGTTTGCCCGCGCTTCACGATTTTCACTCAACATGAAAGGAAGGACTTTTCTCTTTTCTAAGCAATACAAATTAATGGCAAGATTATTCAATCTTTCGAATTTTTTTATATCGTTTAGTTGAATGGGAAACGTAATGGGACCACTATTCAAAACGGTATCGAAATGAGGATAACTAGAAGGTCTATCGGGATTACGTTGCGCTGGATAAAGAGCAGAGACTATTGACCACAAAAAACAATACTTGTCGTTATTTTTAACATTAATAATGGCTTTCTTACGCGCTATAAAGGGAGGAAGTCTTACGTACGTGCTAAAGCTTCCCACTCGAATGGGAACGTATTTATTTACGTTTATTTTTAAATATAAAACCTCAATTAAACTCCAGTTTGATAACTCTTCCTGAAACAAATCTAACTTTGATCTCAATCTGTCAATGACCTGAGTCTGATACCACTCTTTTAGATTACTACCTGCATCGAGAACGTTATTTCTTGTGGCAAACGTTTTTAGATCCACATTAAGATTTTGAGGATGTAAAAAATCACAGGCCAGCACTACGTTTACCTTAAGCATAGATTTTCTTAGCATCGGTTTAATTTTTCGGGCAAGCTTGTCAAATGCCTTATCCAAGAAAATAAAAGGATCTTTGTAGACCGTATTCACAATAATACCAGTAAGCATTCTACCTTGAAAGCAAGAATTTAAAGTCTGCCAAATTAGAGGGTGTGAAGAGGGGGCGGCGGCAGGTATTCCACAACCTCTTTTAAGCGAATTATCTTTTAATTGTTGCCGTAATTTGGCCAAATAAAATTTCAACGTTCCAAGATTAGATTCTAATCTAATAGGATTTTCAACGTGACTATTCAAATGGATGTTATTATTAATAGCATTTTGTAACAAAGAAATATTTTCCCTTATTATCCTTATATGCCTCAAAATTTCGGGCTTATGTTTTAATAATGCAATAGCTTTTCGTGTTAGCGTAACTATTTCACTACTAAGATTCGCAACGGACGTCGGTTCCATTTAAAAAAAAAATTTTTTTTTATTTATTTTTTTTTACTTACAGTTGGAGTTTAAAAAGGTTTGTTATAATAGCAGGAATCCTCGTTCGCTGCCACCAGGTGCTTGCCGTCTTCACTGAAATTGTATATCTAAAAATCTCTTTCTCTCTAAAAATATATGCAAACAGTAGTAGTATCAGTGTTATCCTTGAACATTCACAGACCCCTCGCACACAATCGACACTTTTTGTGCTGATGAGGTGTTGCACTCGCACCACTATACTCACCGCGGGGGGTTTGAAGATGCAAATAATCTCTACACTTGTCACCTTATATAGGCTAGGTGTTCAGGGTCAAATACGCGCAGCTGCACCTTAAACAAAGCGGGGAAGTTCATCCCGGAATCATACGATCTATCGTTCTCACTCATTAACTCAACCTCTCTCCAGTTTTCCGCAAACGATTACAACAATTTTACAATATATACTGAAAATTTTTCCCCACTAATTATCAGTTAGCATCGAGCTCGGTATAACGTCATGTCTTCTTCACTTACAAGAAAGATGAAAAAGCCGAAAATCAACAAAGTGAATATTCTTTCGTCAATGTTAATTAAACCGCAAGCCTGCACCACCAATAAGGCGGAAAAAAAAACAACCAAGCCATCAACTTCATTGGTGCAACAACCGCCAACCAACATCAATAACAACAACTGGCAAAGTTGCGCATTAACTCAAATGGAACCATTGGATGAAGTAATTACAATACATTCGGATAATTCGACAATCACGTAAGTAATATTTATGATTTTTTTTAATTATTTTCTCCCCTCTATTTCGTTATGTTAAAAAGTAATTGCTTTTTACAGCACGGGTCATTTGGGCGAGAATTTGGAACTGGGACCTACTGTTAGCGCAGCTGGAAGGGGACCCCGCAACAAACTATTTATTCGAGCCAGCTCGGTAAGTAAAAAATGTTGTTTTTCTCTTCTACTCGCTAATAATAAAATTCTCTAATTTCAGAATAATACCGACACCGCAATTAACGGAACCCCAGCGGTCGCCGACACCACCACCACCACAGCTGCCGCTAACAACACGGGTACCGCCGCCACCACCAAAGCTGTCGCTACCACCATCAATTTTGCTGTCTCCTCCTCCGCCACCTCCTCCTCCGGCGGAACCTGTTGTGCCATCGGGCCAAAAACGACCGTAAGTTTATATCATAATACTTATAGAACTCCTTCGTAATAGATTATTTTTTATTTATTGCAGTCGCTGTCATGACAACGCATCGCGCTCCCCTAGCGACAAGAAAAGAAAGGGCAAGAATTTGGCAGACGTCGTCGTAATGGTCGAATCCGACCTGGAGGAGGGGTACTTCCCGGAAACACCGACGCAGCAAGATGGGTCGCTGCATCCTAAAACACCGAGGGAACTAGCCCTTACTACATACGGCACATTAAAAAATATGGAGCCGGTGTACCGGGCTAAGCTCTTGGATGCAAGGAACAAGACGACCGAACTACAACGGCAGCTGGAAACGGCGAAGAAGGAAGAGCGGCGGCTGGAGAAAGAAGTCGCCTATATAGAGGACTTCCTCAAATTTGTTAAACCTAAAAAATAAGTTTATAGTTTGTAGTTTTGTACATTTTTTTATACTTTACTTTACTTATTCAATAAAAGGCAAATAGTCAACAACATGGAGTCTTTTTTTATCGAGCAAAACTGATTGACGCTCGGACCAACACCACCGAGTTAAGAAAAAAACTAGATGCTTCATCCAAAGAAGAAAGGCGGTTGGAGAAAAGAACTCCAATTTATTGAAGAATTCATGAAATTTGTAAAGAAAAGTAATTGTCAAAAATTTATCAATTTTTTAACAAATAAAAAACTTATCTGTTTTTGTTGATGTGATTCAAGGTGAAGGTGTAAGAGTTTAAGACAAACGACTTTAGCCGGTTGCGTTGAAAAACGATCAAATTAAGAAAACTTTGCAGCC